GTAGAACACGTTTTTAGTGTTATGTTTTAAATTACAGAATATTTCAGAGGATTTGCTTGAATATTTAGATGATGCTTTGACTGGGATGAGTGAGGTGTGGGGATTTTTGTTAGTCTGAAATGTCATTACCCTGGAATGTCCTGTCAGATGAGCAGTTTTCTAAATGATCTTTAAGTCTCCTTTAGCACTGTTATTCTAGAATTCTGCAATCCTACATGTCTCTTCTTAAGACATAATGCTCTGGGGAAAGGAAAAATGCACCAGAAGATGTCAAATTGAAACTCCTCAGCCAAAAAATAACCTATTTGGCCTGGGTTTAGAGCTGATCATTTCCAACATAATTGGCCAAAAAGTAGCAACAGACACCTCACCCCTGTTTTCCTTAGGCTGGACACCTGGGAATAGTTTGATCAGGGCTTTTGGCTCTAGGGCCTTGATTCAATTCAAACCCCTCTGTTTGTTGAGCTGTTAAGTTGGGTGGTCCATTAGTACTGAGTTTATAAAATCCTATTGCTCCAAAACTACATGAGCAGCCACAGACAAAAAAAGGTCAGTGTCTCAATTAACCTCGGAGAGGGTACCAACTCTAGAAAATGAAGACAAGGGAGAGGAAAGAAAGAAAATGCAATCAGTCAATCAGGGTGAAAGGTCACCCTAAAGTATCTAAATGAAGGTCATTTGGACACAAAACATTCTTTCTCCTGCAAAATGTCACAAGCAGTGCTACTCCCATAATTTTAAATGATATTTTCCCCTTTCTTATATTAAACCTTCCTCTGTCCTTCAGATTAAATAGCATGAAGTAGAGGATAAAAAAACTTTTTAAAAATTCAGTTTCATTTCATTTCTAAAACATTATCCTTTACTTATTTATTATTTTTTTTTTAGTCTTCTCAAATACTACCAGAACCTCCAAACATACAGGTCTCAGGATTCCCTGTTCTCAACTAGCAGGGAGCACAATTGAATCACACAATTGGAAAGTAAGTCCCTCACTCTGACTATCATTTTATGAGCCATTTTGGATTCTTGTACTATTAACATTCCTCTGGGCCTATTTCTAGCTCATCTCATGTATACCATATTCAATTGGAAGCTCATCTGAAACCCCTTCCTTCCTACATCACAAGCCTTTCTTAAAATGCCCTGCCACTTCAACCCTTCCATCACTGTTTCCTAAACTTCTTGATTTCTTTTTAGATTTTACTTGATGACATCTTTGCTTGCTTATTTTTCCCTTTTAATTTTCCTCCACTCTGATAATCATATTTTATCTTAATTGGCCAATATGCTAAATATTTTATCATTGCAGAGAAATTCACCTGTGCATAAAAATTTAGCCCTCGACAAAACACCAATTGTAGTCAGGTGAAACATTTCAGCTTTGACTTCAAAAAAATATCAAAAGTGAAAAAGTTGGTCTTCTGTATCTGTTCCCCATAGATAGTCAGTGAATAAAACTCCACAGGTTGGAAATAAAGAATGTTTTCTAATAACTGGAAACTTAAATTTAGTGACTCACTGTGAATCAGTCACTTGCATTTTATATGGCTGTCTTTCAAATTGTGTTAATATATCTTTAGGTTTAGGCCCTAATGAGTTTTTGCCTTTGGCAACTAATTGAACATTTGCAGACTTGCTGACTTATTTTCATATATCTTTGTACATTCTCATATTTAAGAAAAAAAATGTTGACATTAAAATAAGCTAAAAAGAAAATTCCTTAATTTCATTCGTTCATGAATGTTTTCATAAGGCATCCATGGCCTTAATCTGTTCTCAGGCAAATAAATATATGTATACTCCAAATGAATCATTGCTTTTACACGAGTGAATATTTGGTCTTTAGAAATGAGTTTTTTATTGTTGGAAAATGAAATAAACTTGAGCCATAAACAATATAACATTGTCATGTTGACTGCTGAAATCTCATAAATATGCAGTTTTCTACATTTTGACCCTGGAAGATGCTATTTTTTTCTAGCCATAAATAACAACTTTACTGAATTGTACTTTTCAAAGAATAAAGAAAGACACCAAACTGTAAGTTGCAAAGAAAAGATTCAGAAAAATTCCAGGTTCTCTTATTCCATACTCGAAAGAGTAATAAACACAGATGAAAAGAAGGAAGGAAGGAAAAAAGGTAGGAAGGAAGCCCTTTATTATTTTTCATAGATACAAACATTAGCAAGGTAGGAAAAATCTAAGCATATTTTTCATTACATAAAAAGAGTCAAAGAAAGCAATTGGTTTCAGTAAGTCAACCACTGTAGACTCTGAGAACAATGCAGAAAGCAATGTTGAATCAAGAAATACAAGCAATGGCATTGTTTTGGCTTAAATAATTTATGAAACCAGAGTGTTACAAAATTCCTTGAGGTTCATTCTGTATCATCATAGTGCCAAAATAAAAAGTCCCAAACATGTAAACCATTAAAATTCACCTCTTTTTTTATACTTCATGTTGTCCCTAATAGCATGAAATGGTTAAAATATTTTTTTAGTATTCATATTATAATTTTTAAGAGAGGGAACAGAAAGTATCTCAAAAGAAATAAGCAAATGTGATGACAAATCACTGCTTTAGGGGCTTGGAACTTTTCTTAGAACCAGAGCACATAGTAATATAGTTTCATACATCCCTATTTATAGTAGATACTCCTTTTTCTCAGAAGCTCTAGATTAAACATTTCATTATGAAGCAAGTCTAAGGTGGAATTTATTCTTCTTATTGTCTCAAATGATATAAATTCTAATAATATGTTGGGAAAGTTAGCCATTAAAAATGGATTTGAGCTGGGATGTTCAAAGAATGACACCTTTTAAAGTTTTCGTTTAGAATATAGCTACCTGCTATATCAGAGTTGAACATGCATCCAAATCCTTACCAAACTGAAAAACAATGCACGTGATGTAGTTTCTGCTTCAGGTAGAGAGAAGTAGGGTGCATGGTAGCATTTATTGTTGGAATTAAAAATTACAATAGATGGTTAGATAAACCTTGGAATATTTTCCTGAAATAAAATTATTAAGTCCATATATTTCATTAAAATATTTTAAATCTCCTTTAACTTCAAAATAAATATCTAAATGATGTCTTCTGCAAAGTAATTTTTCTTTTACATTTATGCAGTAGCCAGAGATAATGTTCAATCTACTTCTCCTTGCAGTTCGAGAGATGTAGCTCCCATTACATCTATATATATAAGAGATGAAAGGGCTAAATGAATCCAGAGTAACTTCTGAATGAAGATAGCATTTACCAAACATTACCTATGCATATTTTCCCATCTGACTCAAGTTGGTGTCCATGGTTACAGGAACAATGGGGCCCACCAATTCCATGTTCACAGTGATGGGAACAACCACCATTGTTCTTTTCACAGCTATTGACAATTTCCAGTTCAATCCCTTTCCAAAACAAGCAAAAGAGGGTGATTAGCATAACATCAGAGAAAACAATATATGTCAACAATGGGCACACTCTGTCGGGAAGGTGACAGCCTTTTTTGGAAATTTGTCAATACTCTATACATATAAAAGTAAAAGTCTGAGGTCTATTAAGCATTGTAAATGTCTAAGCCATATTGCAATACTTATCAACCTATAAATAATGTTAAGTTGACTAAGTGAGGCAGAAAGGTAATGATGAGCCCATCAGTGATTCCTAATGCTTACCTTAAAGGACGTACACCTTTGGGAATTCTCAGTATTTTCGGGATATAAAAATATGTGTGTTGAACAGAAACAAGCAGCTTGTTTGCCAGTGACATTTCTGTTCTCAAGCTAATGGTGTGTTATTATCGGACCTTTTTTAGGGGCTATGAGTACATTGAAATACTGTTAAAAATAAACTTGGAACAAAAGTATAAACACAAAACCAGTGAATTAGCTGATCATATGTAACTAGTGTCATGTTGGTGGGCTAATCAGCTTTGATGTATAGGAGAATTATTTATTATATAAACCAACTGTTACTTTGAAAACCAATTTGCCAATCCTGGTGCATGCTGCTAATTTGGGGCATATTTGTGGGCATCAGCCTCAGCATATGAATGCCAGTTGTCCTGAGCACAGGGGCATGATAGTTGCTCATTTTCTAAGTAAGGAAATGAGAAATAAAAGAGTGTTTTGAATCAGTGTCAAAAATATGGAGCTTAGATACTGAGTGCTGTTTTTACCATGGGAATCTATTGTTCTTCATTTGTGTTGCTTGGACACATCCCTTCTTACTGAGAGTGTCAACGTTGGTTTATTTCCTTCCAGACTTAACTCCTGAATCCTTTGGAAGGGAAAGAATAGGACAAGGGTACTTGGAATTGTGGCACTCCTTGAAAGCATGTATCATCATTTTAACTGTCTAGAATTTGCCACAGTTCCAGAAATCATCCTTCCTGATCCCAGCCTCCAGTCTAGGGCAGGCGGCAGCCTTACGTGCTCCCAGAGCTCCCAGTACACATCCTGTCATTATGCTCATCCCACTATGCCACCAACATCTTGCACTACCCAGCTTAGAACAGGTGTTCATAAAAGTTTTTGAGTGATTGAATAAACAAAAGAAGGATTATGCTAATCAATTCATTGTTAAAAATGAGAACCCCTTTGGGTTTAGAAACAGCTAGTTTAGGACTGAGAAAAATTAGAAAGCTAAAGAAAAGATCGAAATATAGAGGGAACTGATATGTTTCATGATATGTTAACATATACTCTTTAGGAAGACACTTCAAATTATGTCTTTGGCTGTGGAGTTAGGTACACATATATCATTATGATTCAGAATGGAGAGGGTTTTTTTTCCTTACATATTCTTGTCATTGCCGTTCTTATAGAGAGGCATTTTAAGTATTTACAAATCTTATTTGGTACCTTGGAGTCCATCAAGTCAACCCCTGTCATTTTCTAGAGAGAAAAGTAAGGTTGATTGAGGTAGAATCACTTCTTTGATAACATTTACAGCACTGTAGGTATTAAAAGCCAGATCTCCCAGGACAGTTTTTTCTACTACATAATGTTTACTCTCTCAGATTACATTCATACAACTGAAGTTTAGATACACATTCATTTTAAATTTCCTTTTGAATGATATTATTACAATTAAACAAAATTATTACAAATACATTTTTT